TTTTTGAACAAACATTATCTACAATTATGCAGAATGTTATTGGGATACTTCTGTATTTTAACTCAAAGTTACACATCATTACAATGAAGATGTGCAATTCTTATCGATTTCTATATTGCAAATATCCCTTCTTGGTTGATACAGCAAAAGTTTAGTTTCTGTATCTAAAAAACATGTCTGCAGATCATGAAAATAATTCTTTAAAAATCTAATGAGACTACAAATCAGATGATAAAACAGTCAATATCAGAGACACATATTCCTAAACTAAAATCTGCATGTTGTTTTAGAATGCATATGTATCTTTTTTCACTCAATGTGATAAAGAATTAATACTTTTTAAAACATAGAACTAATTGTACAATTGATATAGTGCACACATTTCTTTGGGAATCTTTTATTATTTTCTTTTTTTTTTTTTACATGCCATAGTGAAATGAAAGTAGAATAGAGTGAGAAAATGAAAAGATTTTGGTTCTCAGTGTTCTATTTTAAAGTGATCATTTGTTTGATTTAAAAGTATTTTTAGTGATTAATCTCTGCTGTAACTTCAACTAATATACTAGACTAAATATACTGATGTGGGTCAACCAGCCAAAGTATTTCAAGCAAAAATATTTATTCTGCAAGCATTCCCCAATTCAAAACAGCTGATACTTGTAAAGATGAACATACAATGCTGCTTCATTTTTCCCCATTTCCCCTAGTCCTTTCATGTAACTGCATCAGAATTTTCAATCCTTTTTTCAAACAAACAAATAAAACCCTTGGTAGTTACTATTTTTAAATGTCAGTGCCTCTGTGCATTTCTCAAGACTTCATAGTTAGTCAAGAATCTGGGTATTATTTTTATGGTAAGTGTTTGACACCATTATTTTTTTACCCTGACCTGCAACCCACAAGTGTAAATGTAGCAGGAATAATACATGAATGAAAAATACCAGTGCTAAAATCTATAGGACTGTTCTGAAGAATATAGCTAGGTCTATAGTGAAAGCCAGATACATAACATATGCCAGTTTTCTGAATTCCCTAGCTGAAGGTATATTCAGAATATATAGTATAGTGTAGAGTAGTGTTCTTCCTATATACATGTAAATAAGTTGGTACGTGAAAAAAATTATAAAACCATATCCATCTTTACATTATTGCATGACTCAGACTATTTGACATCTTTATTTTGAACAAACTTTATGATTTTGCAGAATGTTATTCAAAAAAATCAAGACTAAAAATGCTTATAACATATAATTATATTAGCATGACTGAAATAAATATGTTCTTATTCTTTCATTTATGATTTTGTGATTTTCAGAGTGAACCTCCATATAGAAGTCAGGTATTTTTAAGACATGTCTATCAATATATTGCCAATTTAGAAGAAACTATACTCCAGGTAACAGATGAGTGATTTTCTCTAATTCTGTTGTTTATACTTCTTCAATATAATCAGGATTCTCCAAGGTCTGTGTCCCTAGGGTTAAACAGCTAAATGTAAAACCAAGAGCATTATCATGGGATATATGTTCATGAGATGTATCTTCCTCAGAGCATCATTATGTTGTTGACAGTTGGAACAATGTTAACTCCCTCCTTTATTAAATTCTGTTTTGGAAGAGTCACTGCCTTTAAAGGGATGTGAAATGTATAAGAACATTTTAATCATGAGGGAGAATGCGCATGCAGTGTGTTCATAAGGCAAGAAAGTACATGATTAATATGGAGAATATGTCCATTGGTGAGTTGCTTCAATGTTGGGCATCTTTTCATTCTTCCAAGAGGTGTGTTGAAATCCAGAAATGGCTTGGAGAGAAAACAAAAACAAAAACAACTGTGGGGTCTGAGATAGAGGAATGTCTCCTTAGTTGAGTGAATGGTGCATATTCAATATACTAAATTCTGTTTTCATGACTCCTAGGATAATTTGAATGATTTTGTAACTTTCTATGTCACCCTAGAGGGTTTAAGTGAACTGTCAATGGTAAGTTTTGGTTTTTATTAAATTCATTGAATTTAGTAAAATAGAGAACACACCTGAATGCAAACATCAAATAGCAAATCTTTTATGCTTTCGTAAATGTTCTGATAATATAAGTGCAAAGAATGTATAGCATGATAAAAACTCACATTTGGATAACCAATAACCATACACATTTTCTTGGAAGAGTTGTACAGGGAAATTGTGATTAAACAACATTAAAACACATGTGGAGGAATGGAGTCAATAAAATAGATCAGAAGAAATAAAACTTTTCAGAGAATGCAATTTTAAGATACCTGTATGAATGGTCATAATTGCTTGTTGAAGTATTAAGGAAAAGTGATCAAAATTCATAGATTCCATTTAGGCACTTTGAAAGACAGTGGAGTCAAAAACTTCACTGATTGTATTCAAGGGTTAGTTGGAGAATAGATTTTATTAGATAGCAAGCAATATACTGTTGAAATGCCTGCTGTCAAGAGTAGGAGTGAAGAATGAGAGACAGCTTTATATTTCCTCATTTTTCATTAACTGTGCCTGATTTTACAATAGGCCCAACCTGAGCATCTGAAAGGATATGCAAAGGCAAAAAGCACCAGGGAGTGGTTGGGGAACAATGCAAAGTGAGCATTATCTAAGCACTGGACAAGGAGTCCATGGGCACTAGAATACAAAAAGAAATGTGAATATGAAAACAAAAAGAAATTAGAAAGTATAAATGTCTAGGTCTAGTTTTTCAAGATCCTAAGTGTATAAATAAGGGGTATGTGGTTCACCAGTAACCCTATGTGTGACTGTTTGCAAAAGTCACCAGCTCACCTAAGTTTCTACCATTGCACCATGTCAAGTTTGCAAGGTACAGCAGTGCTCTGTGGTGGGACTAATAGTGTTAGGTTTCACAGATCCTGTCACTTGAAACACATCAGCAAAAAATTTGTCCCAGTTCTCAGATGTGTTAAGATCACAGTTTTTTGACCTCTATTCACTGGTACATTGTGTGGATTGCAAAAATATGATGTTTTTGTTATTCAGTCTTACATATACTTTTAGTTCTCTTTGGTCAACACTTCTAAAATGACTTCATGAATAAAGGGTTTGGGTAATTTTAATGAAAAATGATTATTTTTAGTAGTCTATTTTACTGCTGATAATGCGTTGTTTCTTTGTGTTTAATAAAATATGTGCTGTAAAATGCACAGATGGAAAGTAATCCGTGTGAAACTGTTAAGAAAATTGTCAAAATACACACTCAGCCCATCGCTGTAAATATTTACCATTGTCAACTTTATAAATGACCATACAGTTTTTTATATAACTGCAAGAATGTATTTATCAATGGAAGGGTTGACGATGTACTTAAAAGTCCTCTTCAGTAGATGCTTTACGATAAATTGAAAATAAGGTTTGCTAGGTCAACGCACACCTGCAATCCTAGATGCTTGGGAAGCTGATGAAGGATAATCGCACTTCTAGGACAGCCTGAGAAACTAGGCCAAAATCAAAGGAAATTAGTGACACCCTGTCCCAAAAAAAAAAAAAAAAACAACTGGAGATGCAGTTCAGTGGTATTGCATGGAAGGACTCTGTAACCAAACAACCAAACAAACAAATAAAGAAAGAAATATGAAAAGAAATAGAAAAAAGAAGGACAGAGAAAAGAAAAAGATACTAGAATATGTCTTGAACATAAAAAAATTAAGTGTTTTGATAAAGAAGTGTAAGTTTGATGAGGGATATTCTGTCCCTCAAATTTTTATTCTTTTCTTTGTATTTGAATTTAGAAGTATTTTCTATTCCCAAGGATTCTCTTGATGTGTCATGTAAAAATATATGATTAGCTCAATGATTTTCTGACATTTCTATATGTCTCTGTGCTTGTCGTAAATTTTTTTCACATGAAGCCTTCCATGCATCAGATACATTTATACACATTTATATACATAAAATAATGATGATCACTACCACATTTTTATTCAGATTAAAAAAAAATTACAGTCCTGAAGTAAACAGTAACTTGCTCTTTATCAAGGACCAGGTAAGGGGTCAAGTAAGAATACAAAGGTAAGCAGAGGACTCACCACAGAAAAACTGACAGCCCTCTTCCTCCCTGGGCCACACTGAACATCACCTAAGTCTCTGCCATTACATCATGTCATGTTCCCCTGCTATAATTTTATTTCTTTCCTCATGTTTTCTATTTACAGAAGAATCATGGCACATGAAGTCAGAAACCAGAGTACCATAACTAAATTCATCCTGGTGGGGTTCTCAGAATTCCCACAGCTCCAGGCTCCTATCTTCCTGCTGTTCCTAACCACCTACACAGTTACTGTGGTGGGGAATGTGGGTATAATTGTAGTGAGAAGGATCAATCCCCAGCTTCACACACCCATGTACTTTTTCCTCAGCCACCTCTCATTTCTGGATGTTTGCTACTCCAGTATGATTTCACCCAAGCTGTTAGAGATCTTGGTTGTGGAAGATAGAAGTATCTCCTTCAATGGATGCATGACACAGTTTTTCTTATGCTGTGCATGTGTGATTACAGAAATGTTCATGTTGGCAGCGATGGCCTATGACCGGTTTGTGGCCGTGTGTAACCCGCTTCTCTACACAGTTGCTATGTCTCACAAGCTCTGTGCCCTCCTGATTGGTGGATCTTACATGTGGGGTGTCCTCTGCTCATTGATACTCACATATTCTATGGTAAGACTGTCCTACTGTGGATCTAATATCATGAATCATTTTTGCTGTGAGTTGTCTGCCATCCTCTCTTTGTCCTGCTCTGACATTTCTTTCAGTCAGATGGCATGTTTCATCATTTCTACATTCAATGAATTGTGTAGCCTCCTGATCATCCTTGCTTCCTATATCTTCATCATTGCCACTGTCAGCAGGATGCCTTCTAAGGGTGGCCTCCGCAAAGCCTTCTCCACCTGTGCCTCTCACCTGATTGCCATCAGCATCTTCCATGGGGTCATCCTCCTTCTCTACTGTGTGCCCCATGACAAAAGCTCCTGGCTACTTGTCAAAGTGGAGACTGCACTTTACTCTGTCATGATCCCCATGCTGAATCCCCTGATCTACAGCCTCAGGAACAGAGATGTGAAAGAGACAGTCAGGGGGCTCTTTTATTCCAAACTTCATTCTCTCCAAATAAAATTCAGATAAATATTTTTTGTATAACTGAACTATGCACAATTCTTAAAAAATAATTTTATGAATCTTGTTTCAACTGAATATTTTAATAGTTTATATTCATGAAATATTGAATATGAAATGATTGTAAATGTGCAGAGTGTTTTATTATTTTCAGTTTGATGAAATAAATATGCTGCTTTTGTATATTTCTTGTGAAGAATTTCAGGAGGTAGTATGCTCTAAAATGCCCCAGTGAACATTATAGAAATCAGAATGAAGAGTTAGAAGTACATATCTAGAACTCAATCCTTTTGCTATAGCCTAGATTTTCCTTGTGCTTGATAGAGGAGTCAGAAACAAAAATGGAAGGTGACTGCAGCAGATTCATATGTGAGTCTTTAAAACTCACTGTGTTGACCCAGCAATTCTATAAAGCATCACTTTTTGTTTCACCTTAATAGATTAAGTACAATGAGAACTCTTGGTTATATTATGAGAAGTATTGGCAGACTTCAGCAAGTAGGTATTAAAAATAAGAGCTACTACTTTTACTCATCCCTTGTTGTCTGAGTTCCAGTGTAATATATTAGAGTTCAATGAAATATTGAGACAATGCTGAGTGCAATAAAAATTTATGCTTACCTCTAACAAAACTTGTACCCTATTTTGAGGGATATGATGATTGTTTTGAAATTGTACCTTTGATCATGCATTCTAACAATAAACTCATCTCTTCTGTAAGTCTTCATCAGTAAATTGCCTTATGTACCCACTCAGTTGCTTAAACAAAGAGTCAATGTTGTGTGGTGTATCTTTCCTTTTCTTCCAAAATTTATAGAATGACAGTCACTAAGAAAGAAAAATATTAAACAGTTGGTTGGAAAATGTATTGCAGGATGTCTGATTTCAGAGTCAAAGTTTCCTGGTCTCTGAACCCTAAATATATGGAATATGCAATCTCATGTGTATCTTATCCTTCCTCCATTTAGTCCATTCCTCCTTTTCTAATCTACTGCACCTCTATTTTCCCCTCATTCCAGTGCTTCTGCACTTTATTGTGAGTTACCTTTCTTCTTCCTATAAGAGAAAGCATCTGATCTGTGGTTTTTAGGGACTTGCTTACTTCACTTAGTTGACAGTTTCCAGATCTATCCATTTGTCAGCACAAATATCATAAGGTCATTCTTCTTAATGACTGAGTAAGGCTCCAATATGTATCTATCTATACCATATTTTCTTTATCTATTCATCTCCTGAAGGACACCTATGTGGGCTCCTTACTTAGCTACTGTAAAATGACTGCTATAAACATTAATGGAGCTGCTTCACTGTAGTATGATGATTTTAAATCCTATGGGTACTTACCCAGGAGTGGGATATCTGGGTCAAGTTGTGGTTCCATTCCTAGTTTTTTGAGGCATCTCCATACTGTTTTCTAGAGTGATTGGACCAATTTGTGCTCATCCCATCAACATATGAATGTAGATTTATCCTCACATTCTCATCAAAAATTTATTGCTACTTGTATTCTTGATAATGCCATTCTGAGGTCAATGAGATGAAACCTCTGTGTAGTTTTAATTTACATTTCTCTAATTCCTAGAGAATTTTTCATATAGTCTTTTGTATTTCTTCTTCTATAACTTGCCTTTTCAGTTCCCTTGCCCATATATTGATTGGCCATTTGGTTTTCTTTTGGTGTTAATTTTTTTGGGTTCTTGATATTTTTCCTGGAAATTAATGCTCTATCTTGGGGGCATGAGGCAAAGATTTTCTCCCATTCAGTACACTCTCTCTGTACATTCTCAAGTGTTTTCTTTGATCTGAAGAAGCTTTTTAGTTTGATGCCATTCCATTTATTGTTTATTGATTTTAATTTTGATATTTCGAAGTCAGTTCCTGTTCCCATATATTGAAATGTTGGGCCTATGTTTTCTTCCAGTATATGCAAGATTTCTGGTCTAATGCTTAGATTTTCGTTTCACTGTGAGCTGAGTTTTGTGCAGGGTGAGAGAGAGGGGTAAAATTTCATTCTACTCCATATGCATTTACAGTTTTCTGAGCTCAATTTGTTGAAGAGTCTGTGTTTTTCCCAGTGTATGTTATTGGCTACTTTGTCTAGGATGAGTTAGCTGTGTTTTTGTGTTTTTATTTCTGTGTCTTCTATTCTATTCCATAGGTCTTCTTCCCTGTCTTGCTGCCAATACTAGTTCTATTCTTATAGCTCTTTAGTATAATTTAAGTCTGATATTGTGTTATCTCTTGCTTAATTTTGTTTATTTATTTATTATTTATTTATCCATTTACTTTTGCTAAGAATTGTTTTGGGTATTGTGGTGAGGTTTTTTCCACTCTCATGAAGAGCATAATTGAAATTTTGATGGGAATTGCTTTGTGTATGTAAAGTGTTTTGGGGCTTATATTTTCTTCTAGTATATGCTGATCAACTCCAAACTGAATTATCTCCAAATAAAATTCATATAAATATGTTTTGTGTATCTTAACCATACTTAATTTAAAAAATATTCTTGATGGCACTTGTTTGAACCATATATTTGATTATGTGTGATTATGTAAATACTCATGTTTTTAGTGATGACCTATGACTTTCCAACCTTTATTGAATATGAAATACTCTTGTGTCCATCCAATAATGAATACAATATGCTCTTAAATGTTTAGGACACTTTATAAATTTCTGTTTCATTGCATATATGCTGCTTTTGTAGATTTCTCCTGGTGTTCTCCCCACTGAACACCACAGAAGTCAGAATGAGGAGTTAGTATTCCAAAGATAATTCATTTCTGTGCCATAACCTGAATTTACCTTGGGATTAATATTTGCGAGGTTCAAATACAAATGAAAGGTGCTTTTACCTGATTTGTACTCAAATGTTTAGAAGTTACTGTGTTGACCCACCAGTTTTATAAAGCATCACTTTTTGTTTTACCTTAATAGATTAAGTACAATGAGAAACCTTGGTTATATTATGAGAACTATTGACTGACTTCTGCAAGTAGTTATTAAAAATAAGAGCTACTACTTTTATGCATTTTCTCAGCATTATCTCAATGCATCCCTTGTTGTCTGAGTTCCAGTGTAATATATTAGAGTTCAATGAAATGCATTGAGATAATGCTGAGTGTAATAAAAATTTATACTTACTTCTAACAATACTTGTACCCTTTTTTGTGGGAAATGACATGATTGTTTTGAAATTGTACCTTTGATCATGCATTCTAACAATAAACTCATCTCTTCTATATGTCTTTTATCATTAAATTGCCTTATGTACCCACTCAGTTGCTTAAACAAAGGAGTCAATATTACTTGGGTTCCCTCTTTTTCCAAAAATCATAGGATGAAAGTCACTAAAAAAGTATATGCACAGTGCACAGTTCACTAAGAAATGTATTAAGGAACATTTGATTCAACAGTCAGGATTTCCTGGTCTTTGTACCCTTAGTGTATAGAATATGCAATCTTAAGTGTATCTTGCAGTTTCCATGAAACCTGAGATCACATACCTGAAACCCAAGAAAAAAAAAATTATAAGGGTAATAAATAAAGAAGCCATGACCAGTGATTTAAGCAAAACAAAGTTGAGTATTAATTTGGAGGTAATGTTTAGTTTTATAGTCAATAACCTAAATATATTTGTGGAAACACTAATAGTAGAGTGCACAAATAAATTTCAAATATATATATATATATATATATATATAAATCCAACATGTATTTATTCTAGGTATATTAGGTTGCCATTACATTTAAATTCATTAATGACCTATTACATTGGCATAATAAGGGGAACTCACAGATTTATTTCAATCTGCATAATAAATATGTTAGATCAATATTTATTGATAACAGAAAGGGAGATAAACAGAACCAGCAACGTTTACATGTAAACCTGTACCTTTTGTACTATCAGAATCTGTATATATGAGGAACATAAAAGATCAGTTCATGTCCTCATTAAACTTGACAGATCCCAAGATCTGCAGCCGCAGGAAGCCATGAAAGCTAATGCTCAAGCTCCAGTGGTTGTTGAAAGGCCTGGTACCAGCAGAGC